TGACGAACATTTTAAAGTCACCTGCGAGTACGGCTACGATTTTTGGAAGACCGTGACATTTCCATTTTTGGACGTAGAGTGAGTGTTCGTTTATTTTTATTTATTTCATTAATATCAATTTTATCAAATAATCTTCATATTAACACTAGAAAGATCAAAACTTAGTATATACCTATATTATCCAAAAGCGGTCAAAATGATAGCATTGTGAACGAATAACTAATGTATTTTGAAATTTTTTTTCAAATTTATTTTTAATATTTTTTATATTGTTTACAGTTACATAACAAGTTATTAGTAAATATTAACAATAAAAAAAAGGAAAATTCAAAGAAATTGTGTCATTATATACATAATTGTTTTTCTAATTGAAATGAAAAAACAGTCAAAATAACTTCCTAATCTAATCCAGTGTTAAAAATATAAGATGCATATATATATATATATATATATATATATATATATATATGTTGATAAAATTAATATGTTAAATTAAAATTAGAAAAAAAGTTAGAAAATTGAAAAAAAAACTTTAAGATAATCTAAGATAATAAATATAAAATATTAAAGATTTATAAAGATGAAATAAATTGTTCGATTAAAATGATTATTAGTATATATAATTTAATCGAATATAATAAATAAAACGATAGATCATGAAATTGATTTCGAATTGTTCCTAAAAGAATCCCTTTTTCTTATCTCCGTTATCCAATACCGTGTGGAATCGTGTTGTTGAAATACCGTGAGATAACGGGTAGATGTTGAGATCATTGGCAATTTCTATAGTACCGTCTCCTTCTCAGGGTCGCCACGGGAAATCCCGTAGTCTTCACCCTCCAGCCACCGGAGTGCTACATGGAAATCAGATACGGTTACGGGACCACTGGAACTAGAGTGGCTGGACCAGTTCGCGTTGGCGATCCTCTGACTCTCATTATCTACATGCGCAGCAAATACGGTACGGTAATATTAACGTTTCTTTAGTTTGCTCACAATGAAACGTAAGCACGCGTCATACTTATTTTCATTTTATGGGTTAAGATATATATATGTATATATATATATGTATATATATATACGGGTAACTCGTCATTTTCATTCCGCATCGTCAATCCGATCGTATACGACCGCGTCTCTTATTACACGATATCATTCTTTGATTTTTTCATTGTATCAATGAATTATCCAATGATAAAGAAATCTTATGAGATTTTAAATATTAGGTTGATCGAAAAGTAATGTCGCTTTCTTAAATTAAATTCAATAAGAATAAATTTTTAACATGTTTTTATTTTTAATCACAATCAAATATCGACATTCGTAGAAACGACATTACTTTCCGATCCACCTAATATATTTTTTAAATCGATATATTTTTAATCGTGATATAAAAGGAATAAGATAGAAAAGGAAAGAATAAAATAAACGACGTGTTAAAAATAATGAAATATCGTTAAATGACAACTTTAATGTCAATAGAATTAATTAAAGAAACGAATAATAACAACGTATGCTACAACGTCTTAATATTATAGATCGATAAATCGTCAATGTTTCGTCTTAGATGGTTTTGACATAGTTGTGAACGATTGTTACGCTCACAATGGTGGAAACAAGAGGATTCAACTTATCGATCAGTATGGATGTCCCGTCGACGATAAACTAATTAGCAGATTTCGAGGATCCTGGTCGGAGAGTGGATTATTCGAGACTCAAGTATTCGCATATATGAAGACATTTAGGTTTACAGGCTCGCCTGCATTGTATATCGAGTGCGACGTTCGTATGTGCCACGGTCGATGTCCGGTAAGAATATTATAATCAAAAAAAACCAAAAAAAAAACCAAAAAAAAAAAAAAGCCGTAGGAACAAAATTGCAAGAAGAGAACCGATTTTTATTTTATTTTATTCTATTTGGCAATTTTTAGAGTCAACCATGCCATTGGAGGAATGCAAAAAATGTTGCGAAAAGATCTGTATCAGACATGATTGGTGGACCAACGACACCAGCTACGAGTTTGTCGGAAAATGTAAATCTTTTTCAATCCCTACGAGTACTTCAAGAAGGAGAAGTGGACACGGAATTATTCCAAAACTCTACTACAGCTTCTCGCAATGGTAATTAAACGTTTCACGGTAAAATATTATCGATTGAAATAAAAAGTGTTCCTATAAATATTATAATAAATTAATATTACATGTCAATTAATGTAGAAATAAATTTGCAGGTTCAAACGATCCCTCGAACGACAGAGTTTGTTTAAGATCGAGCGTGATGAGCACGATCGTAGGATTAGGCTGCGGTATAATTTGTTTATTGTCGGGCACATTATTAGCAATGTGTTCGCGAATGCGACGACAAGCGCGAGAGAAATTGCTCTCGGATAGCATAAGTTATATGACGCACAAGGGTAGAATTAATTAAGTGGTCCTGGGTGAAAATATATTTGGGGATTAATTTCGTTCTTCCTTCCCGCGGTTCTTGCAATGTTTTTTTTTTACCGACGGAGATCGGTCAAGAAGGGTTGGGTAGGGGGGAAAGAAGCAAAAAAGTGAATGAAAAAAGAAAGAAAGAGAACGAAACGAGAATTCGTCGGTAAAACAGAAATCTGCATTACCGTTACTCGATGTCGCGAGACATCGACGTTATCGGGAGGGACGAACGATAAAAGAGAATCGAATGGATTTTTATCTAAATGCCAACGAGTATGCAACAAGTTAACACGCTACTTCGACGAAAGACTTTAGTATTTTAGTGTGCCTAATGATACAACAAGTAACGCCTTAACAACTATAATTTACTATTTAGTTTAATTCATTATATAATGATTCATTAATACTCAAGACGAGGAGCGTAATATTTAAGAACGACGACCTCGGTACTATTATTTTATTTTTGCCTTAACTCGATTTTTTCCGTTTTCATTGAAGAAAACGTTTCCGCCGATAAAGTAGAGTTCTACCGGTAATGTAGTAATCATTGCGAGTTGTGAAATCATTGTTACTCGTAATTTTGAACGAGTACTTTTTGATTTCGTTACTTCGCAAAAATACTTTTTCTATGCTCTTTGATATCTTCTTTTTTTTTCGTTTGTTTGTTTTTTTTTCTTTTTTTTTTATATATATCTGCGCTCTTTGCAACGACGTAGACCGATCTTTCTCTCTTTTATTCTTTTTCATTATGATCATAAGAATTTTAACGGGAATCCGATCGCTTTATCGTGCGTCGGTAATAGAGATAATAAAGTTTTCAAGAACTTTGCCAGAATCCTCGGAGGTTAGTTTATAAAAATGAAAATCTCTTTGTTACATTAAGAGGGAAATGAAAATGAGCGAATTATACTATGAAGGTATTTTATTAATCATTTACGGTGACATCATAATTATATGCTCAAACGCTATTAATCGGCATATTCAGGAACATTATTATTCTTTTAGAATAGAATCCGAGGATAACTTACCGTCAGTCGGTAATTATTTCAAGAACGTAAGTCTTCACGAGAGCCATCCCTTTAATTAAGGGCCACACAACGTTTCTGAATGTTCGCGAATAATATTAATTTACAAATTAAGCTTTCATTCATTATTATATGATATGATAATTAATTGATTAATTAATTACACGTAGGATTATATAATGGCTAAAGTAAATATGTTAAAGCTCGAACCCTGATCTCTCATAAAATATGACAAGAGAGAAATAAAAAAACGTGAAAGACACAAACAAAAATTATATAAAAGGAAGTAAAAAAAAAAAAAAAAAATAAAAAAACAAAGAAGGAGAGAAAGTTAAACAACAGACGCGCTTAGAACGTACGGCCAGTGAGGATTAAATAATATTTCGTGAACGTGTTAATTCAAAGAATAGAAAAAAAAAATAAATAATAATAATAATAATAATAATAATAATAATAATAATTATAAGAAGAAGAAGAAGAAGAAGAGGAAAAATTAAACGTATACAATTCGTTTTATTTCATTAAAATTTTTCAAATGTCTACGCGAAATATTAATTTCCCCTCCTGGTCGTTTATTATTACAAACACGCGCATACATATGCACGCAGCATATAGCAAATAGTAGCGTGTAAAATGCTTTTCGATTTTCCGTCCTAAAAAAAAAAAAAAAAAAGAAAGAACTCCGTCCATACAATAACCTTTCACCTATATATATATATATATATATATATATATATATATATATATATGTATATATATACATATTTTTTTTTTATTTTTTGTTTTTTTTTCTTATTTTTTTATTTTTTCCTTTTTTTTGTTATTCCTTTTCTTTTTCTTTTTTTCTATGGGAAGACATCAGGATTCATGCGATTAAGGATTAATTAGGTATTATTTGTAAATATAGTACTACGTCGATTAACTCATGATATTTATGATTTAAGCTCGTGTGTAACAAGGTTTTCCAATAAACAATAGACGGAGAAATGAATTTCTCTAATGACGTGTTGATATGTTAATTTTTTTTCTTATATTATATAAGTGGACATAATATGTTTTTTTTTTCTATCCATACATAAACCATTAGTAATTATTAAGAAAATAATTATGAAACGATTATACTTATCCACTGTTCCTCTCTCTCTCTCTCTCTCTCTCTCTCTCTCTCTCTCTCTCTCGCTTTTTTCGTCATTTTCTTTTTTTTAACAAAAATTTAATTCATTATCGCATCAAAGATCGAAAATGAAATATCCGACAAAATTCTCTTCGTAATTACTGGCACGTATTTATCTTATAAAGGAAAGAGTAAACAAAAAAAAAAAAAAGAAAAAAAAGAAAAGAAAGAAGAAAAAAAAAAGAAGAAGAAGAAGAAGAAGAAGAAGAAGAAGAAGACTCGTTCGTTTTTCAAACACATTTTCTATATACGAAAAAGTAGGTCTAATAGAATGAGACGAGCGTGACGGCGGAGGGAGGGGTAGGGTGGCGGTGGAAGAAGAGAGTTCTACCTGAAAGTCGATTTTGAAAAATTCCTAAACAGACAGATCGCTTACGTTTGCTTACGGAACGGAACGGAACGAATCGTGTTTTCCAAATAGCACATCTTTCACTATCCAAAACGACGAGGACGACGATTACCAGAAGAAAAAGAAGAAAAAGAAAAGAAAAAAAAAAAAAAAAAAAATAAAAAGAAAGAAAACCAGAAGAAAGAAAAGAAAAGAAAAGAAAAGAAAAGAAAAGAAAAGGAAGGCGGCGAACGACGATTTGGAAAGTCTTTCAAAAATGACGACGATGTCGGTCTCTCTCTCTCTCTCTCTCTCTCTCTCTCTGTCTCTCTTTCTCTCCATTTCTCGTCGGTGTCTCAATGAAAATCGAAAAAAAAAAGAGAAAAAAGAAAGAAAAAAGGAACGAAGGCGTCGCGATATCTCATCGACACGAGGACGTTAACCGAGAACCGCCATTTATCGTTTCTCTCTTTCGATCGTTCTCGATAACTCGAAAGATGAGATAAAGAGAAAAAGAAAAAGAAAAAAGAAAAATGTCGGTCGTTGGTAGAACTCCCCCGGGGGGTGGGGGTCCCTCTTACTTGGGGGAGTAATAAAAAACGAGCTGACGGACAGCCGGCGTCAATTCGAAGAAGATAAATCATCGTCTTGATCGAAAATTCGTGCTTTGACTGTCCTTTATTAAGATGCGTTTTCAAGATTCTCTACGTGATCAATTCCAAGAGATTATCGTCGATCGGTATCACTCGTATCTCTTTATCTCTTTTTGAAAGGTATACATTAATTCTACTTTTTCATTTATTTTTTCTTATCTTCATCTTTTCTTCCTTTCTTTCTTTTTTCTCCCCCCCCTCCCCCTTTTTCTTGTTATTTTTCTTTTAAGAAAAGTTAATAGACCACCATCGTTATCATCATCATCATCATCATCATCATCGTCATCATCATCGTCATCATCATTATCATCATCATCATCTTCGACGTCATTCAATGTTTAATCGATCACAAATTTATAGGATAGATATGGATATCACTCTTGATGGAAATTAATGTAATATTAAAAATATTATATATATATATGAGAATGAGAGATGAGTAATGAGAATGAGAGAGATAGATAGATAGATAGATAGAAAAAGAGAGAGAGAGAGAAAGAGAGAGAGAGAGAGAGAGAGAACAGAAACATAATAGCACGATTACTTTGTAACGAGAGTATCGATTATAAAGGAAACATTGTTAATACGATGTTACGATCTTTTTCCAAAAATAAGTAGGCATATAGATCGTACGGTAAGAAGGCATGCGTAGAAGGCATGCGGTGATTAATCAAGCGGCAATAAATTAATTGCCGTACTGCCAGAAATTAATTGCCGGCCTGGCAATAATTATGGCCAACGCAGAAATAATTATCGTTTCCCCGTGGCAACGCGTTGATCCTCGCTCGGTGATAATCCGCCTGTAATTCGATAACCGCTGAACTACCACCATTACAACTACCACTATCGCTACCCCCTATGCAGTCCTCTTCTCAACCATCACCACTATCACCACCATTCTATTCCACCTCCATCATCCCACCCTAGCCTCTTTCAATCCTACCCCCTACCTCATTGATCCTTTTCTAGCGTCCTTGTAAATCCGATTAAATTTCAGTAACCCCGCGCGTATACTCGATACGGAAGCACAGCGCTAATGTGGATAGCGAGAGTGTTCCCGGCTCGATTAACGTTTGCCGATCTAACGATTTCAAGAAGTGGCTCCAATAAAAATCATTTTACGCTCCTTTTGCGAACGTCGAGTACGATGAAAAAGTAGAAAATCCCCTCCTCTCCCCCAACCCTCTCCCGACAGCTCAAAGAAAAAATGAAAAAAGTATAAATAGATCGTTTATTAATATCTTATTATTAATCGCGGAAATATTGAATTCGTTTGTATCGATCCAATGTAATCAGCTGTTCTCGAATAATTATTTTAAATTGTGATCAAAATGTTTCTTCACCATTTATATCTTTTTAATTCTCTTTTAAATTATATACGTAATAAAATACATCTACAGATCCAATAATAACTGTTTGACATTTAAAAAGATATCACAAATTTCGATGAAAAGAATATATCCTTTTATTAATTCTTAAATAATATTTTTCCTCTATGTAATAATTCATTTGTATCGATCCAACGAAATCGATTGTTCCATAAACATTATACGATATTACGAACAAATGAATATTTCATTTATCATTTCATCGTTTAAAAAAAAAAAAAAAAAAAAAAAAAAAAAAAAAAAAAAAAAAAAAAAAAAAAAAAAACAAACAAAAAAAAAATAATATTCTAATTGATGACAAAACAAATTTTCGTTTACTTTTCAATTACTCAAAAGATAATATTAACGAATGAAATAATTCGTTTGTATCGATCCTAAAGAAAATAAATTGTTTAATAAATTATAACTAAATTGTAATCAAAAATTTTTCTCCTCTTTCCTTTTTCTCATATTCTCGTTGAATTAATTTTAACTTTTTCCTTTTTTTTTTTTTGTC